GAGCAGGGGTGCCACTTCTCCTGAGGTTGGTCACAGGCACAGCAGCGGGAGCCCACCCTAAAGCAGGGGAGGGGATCAGAGTAGAAGGAGGCGAGCTCTGTGAGTGTGTCCCTGTGGGTTTCAGCATCATCCTGTGCCAGTGAGTGTCATATCAACAAGAGCCAGTGCTAAGGAGGCAGAGTAAAGGAGCGTGGGGGAGTCTGAAAGGTCGAGGTGGGGCATGATGAGGGAAGGAAGCGAGAGCTCCCTAGGTAGAGCAGCACAGCTTTCTGCATATGTCCTCTCTCCCCTTAGCCCAGGCCCCACGCAGCAGACCACACATCTTATCTCCCCTCCTCCTCCTCAGAATACCAAACATTATGAGCTGTTAAACTACAGTGAGCACGGGACAACGGTGGACAATGTGCTGTATTCATGTGACTTCTCTGAGAAGACCCCGCCAACCCCCCCAAGCAGTATTGTTGCCAAAGTGCAGAGTGTCATCAGTAAGTTGGAGTCGAGGCCTGTGGTCACAAAGCTGAAGTCCCGGTCAGGGTGGTTCAGACTCGCTATTGATGACCTGCTGTCTCTTGCCTTCCCAGTCCCATTGGCCCAGTTCTTGCTCGTGGGCCCAGGGAAGTCCACGGAGAGGCAAGGCTGAGCACCCACACATGTGTACACATCTATTTGGGGACTTCAGACTCCACCAGCCTTGCTGAGCATCCCTCCCCCAGTCATGCAGCAGTTAGAATGGGGAATGCGGGGGCCCAGCCCTGGCAAACAGCCCAGACGGGTAGGCTGCTCACTCTTCACGCCTGTGACCATCCCCCTTTTTCCCAGGGCGCCGCCGACACCAGAAACAGGATGAAGAGCCAAGTGAGGAGGCAGCCATGATGAGTTCCCAGGCCCAGGGGCCGCAGCGGAGACCCTGCAATTGCAAAGCCAGCAGCTCAAGCTTGATTGGGGGCAGTGGGGCCGGCTGGGAGGGCACGGCCTTACTGCACCATGGCAGCTACATCAAGCTGGGCTGCCTGCAGTTTGTCTTCAGCATCACTGAGTTTGCGACCAAACAGCCCAAAGGCGATTCCAGCCTGCTACAGGACGGGGTCTTGGCCGAGAAGCTCTCCCTCAAGCCCCACCAGGGCCCTGTGCTGCGCTCCAACTCCGTTCCCTAGGGCTGGCAGCAGTCCCGCCACCGGCCTGAACTCCCACCCAAGACTCCTGCAATGCAAAAATGTACACAAAACAAGCCCGGGTGTTTTCTATACTCTACCAGAAACCCTTCAACTACAATCTTTGCATGAAATGAAGAAAACCTTTTGACTGTTTTTTAAAAATCCTTTTTCTTTTCTCAAGTTCTAGGGGGCATTTGCACATATATTTGTACTCAACATTTCATGGGAAAGCGGCAGACCCGAGCTGAGGAACAGCGTGGGCAGGGAGGGGAAGACCGGTGGTCTGGACACTTCTCCAACACAAACCCTTCCCTACCCGCCTCCTGCTCCCACCCCCTCGCCCGCCGTTGTAAAATAATCAGAAACTTGTTCTATTTTGTGGCAGTGACAATAGTTTTATATTAAAAGAAAAAAATACAGTTTTCATACAGCAAAATCTATACAATATCATTGTTTTATTTAATATAAAGATCGCTACCCACCCTCCTTCCACAGTTCCCACCCTCCAAGTTATTTTCCCTTTCTGCAGCGGTTGCACTACAGGTAGCTACTGTGTATTATGGACAAATGAGAAATGAATTCTTTTTCTGGCTGTCCATCTATTTTATTTCAAATAAGGAAAAGTGTATTTGGATTTTGTGTAAATACATCTAGTGATGACTTTTTTCAATGTTTTTAAAAACTGTGTACAGTACTACATGTGGTAGAGCGTTTTCTCAAATTGTCTATTGTAGCAAAAACGTTTTTGTCGTAAACCTGTTTTGTCTCCTTTTTTTTGTTCTCTTGCCACTTCTCTCCTCTTCCTCCTGCCCCTGGCTCCCTCCTCTCCTCCCATCCCTACAACTAGTACCAATGTACATAGTAATTGTAATGTTTTAGACTTTACAGAAACTTTCCTGTATTCTGTATATAAAAAAACAAAAATACTTCAAATTATGTTTTCTGCCTGTCTGTCCTACCTGTCATCACCCTTAGGGGGACCCTCCCTTAAATCTGGATCCAGCAGGTGGGGACCCTTTGGACAGGTCTCATTCCCAGAAGGAGGGGAGGTGTTGGGAAAGCAAACCTGAGGTGGGTGGTGAACTATGGAAAGGTAAGGGCGGAACTACTAAGGGGAGGTGCTTTTTCCCTGGAAAATCCTAGTGTGGAGCAATGCAGCTTCTAGACCCAGCCACGGCACTTCTAGTTACTTGACTTGTCATCATATCGCTACAACTGCTGTTCCTCTTCAGAAGACAGATCTACTGCATTACCTTCATTCCCCCCCCCCCTTTTTTTTTCTTTTTAAGTTTGCTGGTGAGAGAGAGATAAGGACCCTTAAGCAGGGTCTCAGTCCATGATTCTCCCCAGCCCCAGCCTTCCAGCCAGCAGCGTGGATGCGCACTGTGCCCAACATGTGCGAGTCAGCAATGTGGGAGCTGATCCTGTCTTGCGTTTGGCCTCCAGCGCTGCAGGGTTGTGTTACCACTCTGCCGCTGCCCCTAGCCAGTCTTCATTTTAAAGCTCTGGGGACACAAGTTTAACCAAGCTTCATCCTTTCCTTCTCCCACACCCTACTGAGGAACTTTGTCCAGGAAGTGTGTCCTAAAGACAGTCCTGAGAGAAAGCACCCAGCACTATCTGAGGAGGCATGCCTCGGGTAGGTAGTACCTGTGTGCCTATCAGGATTTCCCCATGGGGATGAGTAAATTATTTCACCTCCGGCTCATTCCTCTGGAGTCAGGTCTCTCTTTGAGTTCCATCTAACCATCTAGCTTTGTCTACACTCTGATCCACTGCCCTCATGGGTGTCTTGAACTCCCAGAGGACAAAAATGTGTACATATTCTTACTGCACCACGGCAGCTACGTCAAGCTAGGCTGCCTGCAGTTTGCAGTGTACCCTGCAGTCTTCGGCAGCACTGAGTTTGCATTTCCAAGGCTAACCACACCGCTGGGTACACCGTAAGTGCCAAACATGGTATCTCAGGCGAGGCCCTCCTGACAAGTGAACTGACCAGGAGTGCCCTTACCTGTGCTTCACCACCTGTCCCCGCCTACCTCACTCTCATGGCCACTTTTCTATTGCAGCATGGAGCTTCTTCAGTTTCTACCAACTGTGAGAATCATTCCAGAGACAAGTTTTCTCCAGTAAGCAACAGATTTTACTCTTCCTACTTACCTGTAGGATGGAGGGGGAGAGAACAGACACCTAGATAATAGACAGGAAATGATTGAGTGGATCTTGACAGCCCTTTACTGTTCCCATCTGGAACGCTGTCACGCCTAGCCTGTATGTGGAGAATAAGGAAGTATCCTAGACCTTGAGGGCTGGTTGTGAGGATTAGAAACAAGGGCTTCTTCAGTGAGAGGTGTTTAGAACTGGATACTCAAGACCAACAGGTGGCATAATGGTTGTTACATCACTGGACTCCCACATAGTTGACCGTGGTTTGAGTCCCAGACCCAGTGGCTTAAAACACATGCCAGGTGCGTGTGCATGCATGCCCAAAATCCCAAGGAGAATGGAGGAGGGGACTGCAGCGAGGCCATCCCCCCTTGCGGTGATTTCTCACTTTGTCTCTGTCTCTCTGCTGACCAGGAGTGCCCTTACCTGTGCTTCACCACCTGTCCCCGCCTACCTCACTCTCATGGCCACTTTTCTATTGCAGCATGGAGCTTCTTCAGTTTCTACCAACTGTGAGAATCATTCCAGAGACAAGTTTTCTCCAGTAAGCAACAGATTTTACTCTTCCTACTTACCTGTAGGATGGAGGGGGAGAGAACAGACACCTAGATAATAGACAGGAAATGATTGAGTGGATCTTGACAGCCCTTTACTGTTCCCATCTGGAACGCTGTCACGCCTAGCCTGTATGTGGAGAATAAGGAAGTATCCTAGACCTTGAGGGCTGGTTGTGAGGATTAGAAACAAGGGCTTCTTCAGTGAGAGGTGTTTAGAACTGGATACTCAAGACCAACAGGTGGCATAATGGTTGTTACATCACTGGACTCCCACATAGTTGACCGTGGTTTGAGTCCCAGACCCAGTGGCTTAAAACACATGCCAGGTGCGTGTGCATGCATGCCCAAAATCCCAAGGAGAATGGAGGAGGGGACTGCAGCGAGGCCATCCCCCCTTGCGGTGATTTCTCACTTTGTCTCTGTCTCTCTGGCAAAAAAAATTTCTCTTAAAAAAAAAAAAGAAAGCTAAAGGAGAGTGCCTTTAAAAAAAAAAAAGTTGGAGTGTTTCTATTTAAAAAAAAATACTGGATACTCTAAGACATAAGAGGTTTTTACTTAAAACTTTTAAAAAATTACTTAACTTTATTTATTCATTTACCTTTTAATTTGACTGGAGGGGGACAGTGAGAGAAAGTGAGAAAGCAAGCCACCAGGTCTGAAACTTGAACCGTAGTCGCCCATGTGGGAGTCCAGGCCCTTAACCACCACACCACCTGCCACCCCCGACATGAGTTTTCATGTTCCCTATGTCTCCAAAAAGGGACTTCTCCATACACTTTGAGTCACACACAGATGTTCATTCAAGCACACGCGCTGGCAGAGACTACGGATGCATGCACACAACCAAGGGGCACTCAGCGTCCAGAAGCTTGCAAACACCCTGAAGGGAAACATCTGGAAGCCAAACACGCCCAGAGATGTCGCAGAGTGAGCTACATACCTAGCCCGCCCCTGTGTGTGCACACACCTACAAGGAGTTTACACAGGCACATACCCAGGGGACACACTCAGGGCCCAAGTGCACACACCTACCACAAAGGTGTTCACCCAAACACACTCAGAGGATGCAGATGCACACGTAGGGGGCGCTCGCAGGGCCCACACGCACACGCACGCTCACACCCCTGACCAACCTCCAGCCCGCCTCCGCCTTCGCACGGCCCGTGCACGCCAGGCGCACTTTCCGGCCCGTGCGTAGCGGCTCAGCAGCCACCGGCTGCGGTCCAGGCAGGCGCCGGGCCTGTCCTGGAGCCCGGAAGCACGGCGGCATGGAGGCGCTGCTGTTGGGCGCCGGGTTGCTGCTGGGCGCCTACGTGCTCATCTACTACAACCTAGTGAAGGCCCCACAGTGCGGCGGGACTGGGAGGGCGGGCGGGGGC